GTACCAGCCCTGGAGTCAGGAGGCCCTGAGTTCAAATCCAGCCTTAGACACATATTACTTCCTAGCTGTGTGACTCTGGGCAAGTCACTTAACCCCAATTGCCTCACTAAATAAAAAGATTTTTTTTTTTAACTAATGAAAAAGGTTGGAAAAGATGAGCAAATAACAACAACAAAAACATCTGACCACATAAAGTTATAGTGACAGTGAAGATCAAAACACAAATTCAGAAGAGGACAATGTCAAAAAGCCTCCAACACAAAGCCTCAAAGAAAAATGCTGAAATCAAAAAATTGATCTCAGGCCCAAAAATAACTAGATGAGCTAAAAAAAGGATTTTAAAAATCAAATAAGAGAGGTAGAAGAAAAATTGGGGAAAGACATAAGAATGATGCAAAAAAATCATGAAAAAAGAGTCAACAGCTTGATTAGAAAATGGGAAGGATGTACAAAATTTTACTGAAGAAAATAACTCCTTAAAAAGTAGAATTGGCCAAATAGAAAAGGGGGTTAAAAAAACTAACTGAAAAAAAAAAATCCTTAAAAAGTAGAATTGAACAAGTGGAAGCTAATGACTCCATGAGACATCAGGAGTCAATCAAACAAAATCAAAAGAATGAAAAAATAGAAGAAAATGTGAAATATCTTTTTTGGAAAAACAACTGACCTGGAAAATAGATTGAGAAGAGATAATTTAAGAATTATTGGACTACCTGAAAGCCATGATCAAAAAAGAGCCTAGACATCATCTTTCAAGAAATTATCAAGTTAAACTGCTCTGATATTCTAGAATCAGAGGGTAAAATAGGGATGGAAACAATTTACCAATCACTCCTGAAAGAGATCCCAAAATGAAAACTCCCAAGGCCAAATTCCAGAGCTCCCAGGTCAAGGAGAAAATATTGCTAGCAGTCAGAAAGAAACAATTCAAATATCAGGGAACCTCAATCAGGATTATTCAGGATTTAGCAGCTTCTACATTAAAGGATTGAAGGGCATGGAATATGATATTCCAGAAGGCAAAGGAGTGAGGATTACAACAAAGAATCATCTACCCAGCAAAACTGATTATAGTCCTTCACGGGGAAAAGTAGTCATTCATTGGAATAGAGAGCTTTCAAGCCTTCCCAATGAAAAGACCAGAGCTGAAGAGAAAATTTGATTTTCAAAAACAAGAGTTAAAAGAAGCATAAAAAAGTAAAAAGGAAAGTGAAAACACAAAGGAATCAATGAGGCTAATCTGTTTGCATCCCTACATGGGAATATGATATTTACAATTCTTAAAAACTTATCACTATTAGTTCAGTTAGAAAGAGTATACACAGACAGAAGGTGCGAAGTATAAGGTGAGGGATGATAACCAAAAAATAATTACAGAGTGAGAAAGAAGATTACACTGGGAGCACAAGGAAGGGAGAGGTAGAAAGGGGGAAAGTATATTATATGAAGAGGTGCAAAAGACCTATTACAACGGAGGGGAAAATAAGAGGCAGGACAGTGGACATCTCTTGAACTAACTTACTCTTATCAGAATTGGCTCAAAGACGGAATAATACACACAATAAGTTGGTGTAAAAATCTATCTTACCCTATAGGGAAGTAGGGGAAGGAGTGGGGGAGTGCTGGCAGAAGGGAGGGCAGATTGGGAGAGGCAGTGGTCAGAAGTAAAACACTGATGAGTCGGGAAATGATGAAAGGAGAAAGAGAAGGATAAACAGGAGGAAAAATAGGATGGAGGGAAATACACAGTAATCAAAAATGTGAATGGGATGAACTCACTCCTAATACAAAAATGAATAGCAGAGTGGATCAAAAACCAGAATTGTGCAGATGATATGATGATAAACTTAGAGAATCGAGTAAAAAACTACTTTAAAGAAGAAAAAACTTTAGCAAAATTGCAGGCTATAAAATAAACCCACATAAATCATTGACATTTCTATGTTACCAACAAAGCCCAACAGCAAGAGATAGAAAGAGAAATTCCATTTAAAGTTACTGTAGACATTATAAAATATTTAGGAGTCTAACTACTGAAAAAAACCCAGGAACTCCAGGAACACAATTACAAAACACTTTTCACACAAATAAAGTCAGATCTAAATAATTGGAAAAACATCAGTTGCTCATGGGTAGGCTGAGCTAATATAATAAAAATGACAATTCTACCTAAGCTAATTAACTTATTCAGTGCCATACCAATCAAACTACCAAAAATTATTTTATAGAGCTAGAAAAAATAATAACAAGATTCATTTGGAATAACAAAAGGTCCAGAATATCAAGGGAACTAATGAAAAGAAATGCAGGGGAAGGTAGCCTAGCCGTTCCAGAACTTAAATTGTATTATAAAGCAGTAATCATCAAAACTACTTGATATTGGCTAAGAAATGGAAAGGTGGATCAGTGGAATAAGTTGGTATGTAAGACACAGTAGTCAATGACTACAGTAATCTAGTATTTGATAAAACCAAAGACCCCAGCTTCTGGGATAAAAACTCACTATTTGACAAAAACTGCTGGGAAAACTGGAAAAGAGTATGGCAGAAACTAGGCATAGACCAAAATCTCACACCATATACCAAAATAAAGTCAAAATGGGTTCATGATTTAGATATAAAGGCTAATACTATAAGCAAACTGGGGAGCAAGGAATAGTTTACCTATCAGATTTATGGAGAACAGAAGAATTCATGACCAAACAGGAAATAGAGAACATTACGAAATACAAAATGGATAATTTTGATTACATTAAATTGAAAAGTTTTTGCACAAACAAAGCCAATGCAACCAAGATTAGAAGGAAAGTAGAAAATTGGGAAAGAATTTTTACAATCAGTGTCTCTGATAAGGGCCTCATTTCTAAAATATATAGAGAATTAAGTCAAATTTAAAGAATACAAGTCATTCCCCAATTGATAAATGGTCAAAGGATATGAGTAGGCAGTTTTCAGATGAAGAAATTAAAGCCATCTATAGTCATATGAAAAAATGCTCTAAATCACTACTGAGTAGAGAAATGGAAATCAAAACAACTCTTAAGTACCACATCACATCTATCAGACTGGCCAACATGACAAAACAAGAAAATGATAAAATGTTGGAGAAGATGTGGGAAAATTAGAACACTAATGCATTGTTGGTGGAGTTGTGAAATGATCCAACCATTTTGGGGAGCAATTTGGAACTATGCCCAAAGGACTTTAAAATGTGCATACCCTTTGACCCAGCAATAGCACTTCTAGGGCTGTATCCCAAAGAGATCATGCAAAGGGGAAAAGGACCCACGTGTTCTTTTTGTGGTAGCAAAGAATTGGAAATTGAGAGGATGCCCATCAATTGGAGAATAGCTGAACAAGTTGTGGCATATGAATGTAATGGCATACTATTGTGCTATAAGAAATGATGAGCAGGCAGACTTCAGAAAAACCTGGAAAGACTTGTATGGACTGATGCTGAGTGAAGTGAGCAGAACTAGGAGAATGCTGTACACAGTAACAGCCAGGTTGTGCAATGACTAACGTTGATAGACTTAACCCTTCCTGGCAATACAAGGATCTAAGACATCTCCAGAGGTCTCAGGATGGAAAATGCTATCCACATCCAGAGAAAGAACTACGGAGTTTGAATGCAGATCGAAGCATACTATTTGCTATTTTTTTCTTCTGTTTTGTTTTGTTTTCTCTTTCTGGTGGTTCCTCCTATTGGTTCTAATTCTTCCTTACAACATCACTAATATGAAAATATGTTTAATAGGAATGTATATGTACAACCTATATCAGATTGCATGCCGTCTTGGGGAGGAAGGAGAGAGGGAGGGGGAGAAAAATTCAAAACTCAAAAACTTATGAAAGTGATTATTGATAAATCAAAATAAATTAATAAAAAAATCCCAGAATCGTACAATATGTTGTTTACAAGAAACACAATTAAAGGAGAGAGTTATGCGTTTAAGTTAAGGGGCTGGAACAGGATCTATTATGCTTCAGCTGAAGTAAAAAAAAAAAAGCAGGAGTAGCAATCATGATCTCAGACAAAGCAAAAGCAAAAACAGATCCAATTAAAAGAGGTAAGAAAGGAAACTACATTTTGCTAAAAGGTACCATAAACAATGAGTAGCACAGCATCCAAATTCTTAAAGAAGTTAAGTGAGCTACAGGAGGAAATAGTAAAACTGTAATAGTGGGGCAACTCACTATTCCTCTAGTTCCTCACAGAACTAGGTACATCTAACCATAAAATGAATAAGAAGTTAAGGGGGTGAATAGAATTTAGAAAAGTTAGCTATGAGCAAAGCAGAATCGCAGTAGCTTAAAAGAAACATGAGATGTACAAATTTAGAGACATCTCCATTCCAAAACTTCACACAGGATAAATAGGAAATAATTAACAGGGTAATAATTAAGAGGGTTTGGGAAAGGCTTCCAGTAAAAGATGAGATTTTGGTTGGGACCTGAAGGAATCCAGGGAAGTCAGTAGATGGAGTTGAGAAGGTGTCCAAGCATGGGGGGACCAGATGAATTTACAAACCAAATTCTAACAACCATTCAAAGAACAATTAATTCCAATATTACATAAACTGTATAAAAAATAGGAAAAGAGATTCTAACAAATTCCTTCTATGATACAAATAGTCAAAACAAAGAAAATTATAAACCAATATTCCCAAAGCACACTGATGCACACATTTACAAAGTATTATCAAAAAGGCCACAGAAACCTATCGAGGACCATACATTTCTTCCTCTCCTAGTACTAGCTCCACCCCCAAATTCCCACTCGATTATGAGAACAGGAGAAGGGGAGATGACTCACCAGGGTTTATTTTTGTTTGAAAGTCCATAAGACCCGCCCAAAGCGAGGGTAAATCCCTGGACGCGACCTAGCAACTGCAACTCCCCTCTCAGCCATTGGTCCATTCAATTCAAGCCCTGAGCCAACGGGCGGAGAGCATGCGAGGAGCGAACGAACCAGAGCGCGCGGCGCGCGCTTCGAACGCGGCCGCCTGTCGTCTCTGCTCTGGTCCGAGGTGGCTGAGGAGGCGCGGGCTAAGCTGCTGAGGAGCCAGGGCCTCAGGCGCCCCCAGCCATCATGAGCGCTACCACCCTGCAGCTGCCCACCAGTCAGCGGGCCCAGCCCCAGTTCAAAGGTGTGAGGAGCTCGAGGGGAGGCGGGGAACGGGTGCCGGAGGCTGGGTACCGGGGCCTGCGAGCTGCGGCGGAAGCCGTGGCCTCGGGTGGGCCTGCGGGGGTGTGAGGTCGAGGGGAAGGGCGTGCTTCCCCCACTCCTCACTTCCGGGTCTCGGGCTTTTACCTGAATCTCTAGATGGTGAGCTCCTTGAGGGCAAGGACTATGCTTTTCTTTACATCTCCTGCGATTAGCTCCAGCGCCTGGTACGCAGTAGGCGCTTAATAAATGCTTATTGCCTGACTGACTGGATCGTACTGGGGAGTCCGGAGGGCAATCTGGGGTAGACGCACCTGGCTATTCAGGATTGGCCGTGGGTTTTAGGCCGATCGAACCCGGAGCCTGAGTGGCGGGATGGATGGGGGCGGGGCAGCCGCGGCTCCTGAGGGAGCCCCCTCTCCCCTCCCGGGTTTCTATCTCGTTAATGCAGCTGCCCTGCCCACCCGGGTGGCCTGCTGACCTCCTCCAGGTCACTGCTGGGCTCCCAGTCTCAGATCCAGGTGGAGTTCAAAAAGGGGGTCTGCTGGCCAGGCCATGTGTCCAGATCTCCCGAGCAGTCTACCTTGGAAACAGCATTTTGCAAACCTTAAATGTTATTTAAACGCTAGCTATTTTTATTACTATTGTTATTGTTACATAAATGCTAGCTATTCCTTTATTTCTATCGTGTAAATGCTAATTATTATATTTACATTCTATAAATGCTAGCTGTTATATTTATATCCCGGTAAATCAGAATTATGTTTACATTATACAAATGCTAGCTCCTCCCTATCATGTAAATGCTAGCTATAATATTCTTATCATGTGTGAATTATATTTACATTATGCAAATATTAGCTGTTGTATTTATATCATGTAAATGCTAGCAATTATTATTATTATTATATTTATATTACATAAGTGCTAGCTATTATTTCTCCCAGTTTTGAGAGTGATTGTGTTCTGTTGCATGCTCTCTGCTTCTTGTGTAGAATGGCTCTGGGCATTTGTTATCTTAACCCTTCTTAAAGTTATTAATGGGGAACCAGAATGGTGCTGTGGAAAGGAGTAGTCAATGGGTGTTCTAACCCCGGCGCTGCCACTTACTGTTTGGCATGTAAGGGGCACGATTGCTTAGGAGATAGGGTTCCTGACTTGGAGTCAGGAAGATCTGGGTTCGAATCTTGTCTTAGACACTTGCTAGTTGATTGACTGGGCAAGTCTTTTTGCCTCTTAACCTGTCTCTATGGCTCAGTTTCTGTAACTATAAAGTGAGGGGATTGGACAGTGGTTCTTTTTTGATCGTGGACACAGAATATTCTTTGTTTTGGAGAACCTTAGCACCCTAAAAAGACAGTTGGAAGAATTATCCATGCCCATTTGATGGCAAGTCTTAAGTTCCACACATTTCATGACATACCTAGCTAAGTGTGCCTTGGCATACCCTTTAAGAACCATTGGCTTCCAGCCCTAAATCTACCATCCTATGATCTTGTTAGATAAAGCAGAACCCACATATTTCTACTTTCTAGTTATATACAGTCCCTACTTTGGACAAATATTTCTTTGCAGTGCTGTTAGTTGACAGTGCCTTAATTTGTTGGTGTATTTGTTGAAATTAAAATGTAGTTGAATATTTATCTTTTTCATTTGTCAATTAGAACAAAGAAGACAAAAACTTGAGGAATATCTTGCAAGAAGAAAAGCCCTTTCTGTGTTAAAAGTACAGGAAAAGCAGATAACCAGGTAAAGTAAAGCTCATTTTAGTTTTATAACATAACACTAAGACAAAGTTTTCTCCGTAAAACAACTTGCGTGCATGCTGTTCAAGAAGCTTCAGTGGCTCTCTGTTTTCTTCTGGGATAAAATACAAACTTCTGTTTGGTATTCAAAGCCTTTCACAATTTGGATCCAACTTATCTTTTCATGTTTATTTCTAATTAAGTCTCTCTCCAGCATTCTCGTTACTGCCATGTTAACCTGCTTACTTGTGTCAATTTTTCTCCTGCTTACCACCAGGTTTTTGTATAGGTTGTCACGCACGCTTCAAAAACTATTCCTTTTGTTTCCACATGTTGGAAATCCTAGTTTCTTTCAAGGTTCCACTCAGATGTCCCTGGCTACAAGATGCCTTTATTGATTTCCCTTTTGTCATATTTATAGATTGGTTTTCCAAATCCTACATGAGTGAATTGCTATATTTAAAAATAGACTTTCATTTATTTCAGCCTCTACTTCGAGTATGCATCCCTGTTTATGATATACCTGAACAAATAGTTGTCCAGCCTTTGCTTGAGCTTCTATAATGACAGAGTATAATACCTTTTAAGATAGCCTATTCTGGTTATAGATATCTCGGATTGTTGGAAAAATCTTCCATATATTGTGCTGAAATCTTTCTTCCTGTAATTTATATCCATTGGTTTGCCTTCTTTCCTCCTTAGTCTAGTAGAATAAATATTCTATCTTAAAAATTATAACTCTTCAGGCAGTTTTGAGCCTGAGAGTATAGATCTTGAAACCAGAAGATGTGACATTTTGTCTGAACTTTGATACTTCTAAGCTTTAGGCTTTAACAGTTGGTAGTGTTATGATCAGGCAATTCAGTTAACCTCTCTAAGCCTCATTTGTAAATTGGGAATGATATTTGTGCTGTCTACTTCACAGAATTGTTTTGAAGAAAGCACTTTGTAAATTTTTAAAGAACTATATAAATATTAGTTTTATTACTGTGACAAGTAAAAAACCCTGAGACTGAATTTCTGGGTAATTAATCAACCTATTAGTTAAGCTGGCTAATAATCAATAAAGTGATAATCAGTGGTTTTTCTCAGAAAACCAAAGACAAAAACATAGAGAGCCTGAGAGCCTTAAATATTTTTTTGAAAGGAAGTACCCCTGACAAGTGAAAATCATCCCTGATTGGACATTTAATGAGGAGGTAGGCTAGAAGTCTTCGACACCTCCTGCTAAGAATGTGGCTTGCTCAGCTGTCTCCAACAATGTGGACCAGGTAATCCATCTCCATCAGACCACTCTGCTTGGTTTTCTGCTTCATAAGCTAGATCACCCTAAATTCTAATGGAGGATTACAAGGACAGGGGCTCATTTCCTTGGGGGCAAGAATTCATCCAGACTGGGTTCTCTTTACACTCTAAATAGAAATAAGGTCTCCTAGTTGGGTAAGTTCTCCTCAAGATCAAGGAGCATGTTCCCCAAAGGTTAGGGCAATCTCATCTTTCAATCATGTCTTTCAGAGACTGACCTTCTACAAAAGCTGAGCCCTAAATGAGGAAATATAAAAGGAGAAAAGTCTGGATCATAATTTAAAAATTGGTTATTAATATATAGCAAAATAATTTTTCTCAACTATTACCTTCACAGTCTTGGTTGATGGCTCTGAAAAAGTCTCACTTAGAACTGAATATGATATAGCCTTAGGAAGTACACAATACAATTGGACTGTTACTTCTCTTCTGATCATTATAGTTTTTATACAATATAAGAATCTATTAGCTTTTTTAAAGGTTAGTTGTCACACCATTAAATCATATAAAGCTTGCAATCTATTAAAACTCCCAGATTTTTTTTCATATGAGCTGCTTGGGCAGATCTTTTCCATTCTATATTTATAACATTTTTTTCTTTTAACTTAAGTGTAGGACTTTACATTTTTACCTGTTGAATTTTATTGTATTAGATTTTACTCGTTGTAGCTTATCAGAATCTTTCGGGGGTTTTACCTTTTGGTTATATCGTGTAATAGTATTAGCTATCTCTTCCAATCTGGTAAGCTGCAAATTTCATAATCATACCGTTTTATATCATCATCTAAGATATTAGTAACAGTGTTGGGCAGAATAGGACCAAAGACAGTGTACATAGGCTAGAACCAGAAAGAAAATTAAAAAGACTTAAGAGCAGTAAAAATTCATGTCTTTTCTTCACAGGAGTGTCCCTCAGGCCCTCACCTCACTCAGAGGCTTTTTTTTTTTTTTTTTTTGGTTAGGCAGTTGGGGTTAAATGACTTGCCCAGAATCACACAGATAGTTAGTGTCATCTATCTGAGGTGGATTTGAACTCCTGTCTTGACTTCAGGGCTAGTGCTCTATCCACTGTGCCACCTAGCTGCCCCTCAGAGGCTATTTGTACACACAGTTTTAACAAACTTGGTTATCAAATTTTGAAGTCAGCACATTTAAAAGGGGAAAGCAAGTTTTTATGAAAGCAAAGGAAAAGCGACTACTGATAGAGAATCAGAAACAAAAACCATTTAAAAACAAAGCACCAGGAAGAATTCTGGGGGCCTTTAGTGAGGAGCAAAACAACCTTATACACCTCAATATACCCTGTGGTTTTCTTATCTTTTAGTTTTATGTCACCTTCATTTCCCAATATATCCCTCCTCCTTCCCCTCCCCCACCCCCGAAAGCCATCTTCTATAATTACAAATAAAAAAGAGAGAAAAGTGGGGTAAAGCAGTTCAGCAAAACAAGCCAACATATTGATCACATACCTAAAGTGTATGCTGTGTTCTACACCCATAGTCTCCCACCTCTGCAAAGAAGTTAGGAAGGTGTAGTTTCATAGTTTAATCATTATAATTACATAGCCTTTAATTTTGATTTTTTAAATTTGTTCATTCTGTGTATATTGTTGTCATCATTGTATATGTGGTTTTCCTTACTGCTTACTTTATTTTTCATGTCTTCACATGCTTCTCAGTATTCATATTTATTATTTTTTGTACCATAGTGATTTGTATATTGTAGTATATTACATTTTGGTACCATAACTTTTTTACCCATTCTCTAGTCATTGGGTATCTACTTTGTTTCCAGGTTTTTACTTTGGTTTATATGGGACCTTTTTTCCCTATTTTGATCTTGGGGGTAACCATTGAGTCAAAGATATGGACATTTTATTTGTCATTTTAATACTTTCCATTTTTAAAGAGTTATTATCTACATCATTCCATTTGATCTTCTCAGCAATCCCATGATGTAGACAGAGTTTATTATTCCCATTTTTTGGTGAGGAAACTGAGGCATAAAGAGTTTGTGATTTGCCTAAAGCCACATAGTAAATGGTCTGAGTTCTGACTTCTATTCCAGGTTTTTTTTTCCTCATCTAGTCCAGAATTGTTTTTCCTCATTATAGTTATGCTTATGACAAATGACCAATAAAAGTTGTGATTTTGCTTAAGAAAACAGGAAAGCATAATGTATTTTAGAAATATTTCCATCTGTATTGGCTAAAATAAACAAAAAGTTTTAAATGGTTAATGAGGTGAACCTCCAGCTATGCAGAGTAACTAACCCAAAGGTTTTGGATAGTTCAATTTTTTGTTTTTGTTAAGTTATTATTTTGTTTGTTTTTATTAAGTTATTTTCTCTCTTTTTACTACATTGCAAAGGTATAATTTTATTGCTTAAAAATGATAAACATTGGCTACTGGAACTGTTGACTTTTCAAATAACTATTTTCTTTGTGAAATATTTGTGGATTAGAAGGACTTGGAAATAAGTGGGAAATTCCATATCTTACAACTAGGGAATCTGTAGTAACAGGGTATTTCATTCTGAAAAATAACATCTCCTGGTGTCTAAGGTTGAAGCTTCTTTTCTTTTATCTTCTAACCCTTCTGTTTCACCTTACAAAGAAAATACATAACATGAAAACTCTTGCTAGATGACTCTTTTCTGACTATCATACAGTCATAAAGAAAGATGAGCAAACTGTTGTGAGAAAGTTAATGTGGATTTTGAACCAAAACAAACAAAAAAATCTTCTGAACCAAAAAAGTTTTCGTTACCTCAAAGATGTCAAAGAAAGATGAAAAGGACCCATGTGTACAAAAATATTTAGAATAGCTCTTTTTGTAGTAGCAAAAAACTAAACTAAGTGGGTACCCATAATTTGGGTGCTGGTTGAACAAATGATGGCATGAGAATGCAGTGGAATATTAATATGCCATAAGAAAAGGATAGTGTCAGGAATCTGGGAAGACATACATGAACTGATACAGAGTGAAGTGAGCAGAACCAGAACAATTTATACAATAATAACATTGTAAAAACAACCAACTTTGAAAGCTGTAAGAGTTCTGATCAATGCAGTGATCATCTATGATTCTAGAGGACGGATAATGAAACATGCTACCTACCTTCTGACAGATAAGTGATGGATGGATTCAGGATGCAGAATGAGCCAAGTAGATTTGGATATGGCCAATGCAGGAATTTGTTGTACTTGGCTTTGCATAATTGTTACAAGGGTTTTCTCTTCTTCTTTTTTTTTTTTAAGTATGGGGACAAAGGATAGAAGGAAAAAATTAATTTTAATTGAAAAAAATTAATTTTAAAAATATTTATCTAAAGTAATGAAGGTATCATGCCAAAACTAAAATTCAAATCTCGATATAGTTTAACATAACTATGTATATGTAGTTTGGATTCCTTTAGTGAAAACCAGTATGAATTTGCCCTTTTTTTTTTTAATTAAAGAAAAGCTACTTTATTAGTATCAGTTATTACAGTACCTCAAAGTGTTATCTGTTAGAAATTTTTGAAGAAGAATATTTAAGTGAATAAAAGGAAATGATTTATAATTAGTCCACCTTTTTATAAATGAGAGCTTCTAAATTATATGTAGGGGGAATATGGAACATGTATGCTTAAACAGTTCAAATATTTAAAATTTTTCCTCCATCATTTTTCTTTTTTAAAGCAATACTAGCTGTAATAGAAAAGTATCTGGAGACCCAATCCAGAAGGTGCCAAAAGCTCTGAAGCTTACCAGCACCAAAATGGTAAGTCTAATAATTAAATCCTTTATTTTTAAATTTTGTAATTTAGTCCTGTACTTGTTGTTTCTTTTACTTTTTCTCTTACTAACATTTTCTGCCTGATAGGAATTAATAATAAATTACTGACTCATCTAATTAACTATTTCAGGATAATAAAGAAAATGCTAATCGGCCTATATGGAGAAAAAATATCCTGACAGCAGAAAGAAATGGTGCTCCTTTAAAATCTACTACTGTATTGACAAATTCAGCCATAGATGTTGATGTATGTTATCCTGAGAACTGTGATCAAACTATACAAGTGTTACCAAATGAAGATGACCCTAAAATTCGCAGTGTGTCACTTAGCCAAACCTTTCGCCTTAAAAGAAATAGTAAGGAGAAGCAACTACTTGCAGAGAAGTTGAAGCAAGATGCTTCCTTGCCAAAGAAACCAGTCCTTGGCTCTTACCGTGGTAGAGTTGTCCAATCTAAAGTTAACTCATTTCGAAAGCCATCAGTGGTTACAGATGAAAATTCTATGACAAGTAAGACAACTTCAACTATTGTTCCTAAAGTAAGGCCTCAGTCTGTAAGTGGTACCAACGTAGCTGTGAAAGGTGGTAGAACAACATCTGTTACTGTTTCCACTAAATCTGATGGTGCTGCTTCTTCCCAGAACAAAACAGCCTTTCAGCCTTCCAGAAAAAACCAGGTTGATGCTATCCGGAATAAGGAGAAAGAAGCCACTGTTAGAACCTCTGTCAATGTTACTATCCGAAGAGAGCCTCATAAAAAGAGATTACCTATCTCAAATCCAGTCCTACCAAATGTCAAGACAAATCTGATTTCTGGTATCAAAGAAAATGAAGCACCATTAAAATGTAGGACATCTGTAGCTGCAGCCATTCATGGTTCTGAATCCAAACCTGCTTCAACTTTCAGTAGCAAATTCAGAGAGGATTCCAAAACTGTTGATAAGAGAAGATACACTTTAACAAAGGCACCTATCAATACTGGAAGAACTACACTAACCAAAGAATCAACAGAAGACAGAAGGTAAAAATAAATCACTGAAAAAATTTACTAGATTACTTCATAATAGTTTGCAAATTGCTTTATAATAAACAGTACAATCTAGTAGGCATGCATTTTCTCTTCCATGGATTGCAAATAATTTTAAACTCTGTATTGTAACTATTCTAAAAAGATGGCTCCTAAAGCAAAGTATATTTATGCAATTTTTTAATAGTCTAAATTAAAACTTGATGCCTTGGGGACCCTTGAGATTAACAGTACCTAAATGTCAAAGCCTGGCCACATGCAGCTCAAATAATTCCTTAGAGCATTGTATCCTTTCTACCTTACCATCTTTGCTTTTATTTGACAAGGTCCTGCTGAATCTTAGGATAGCAACATTAAGCATGGTGCAGTAGAAATCACTACCTTTATAGTCAGAGGACCTAGGTCTGATCCTTTAAAATTTGTAAAACTTTGGGTAAATTATTTTACCTCTCTAGACTTCAGTTTCCTCATCTGTAAACATAGTTGGGTTAAAGTAGATGGTCTCTAGGGTCTCTTCTGTATCTGTGATCCTAATATATTTCCTCTAATTGTAGAGATCGTCTGGTTGAGTGGCAAAATGACAGAAGAAGAGTAAGTAAAAGACCACCTACATCAGGTTTATGTGCTCCACCTAAGATGGAATTGCCAAAAGACAAACCAGTTGAGTCTTTCTGGACCACCATTGCAGAAGAAGATGAGCAAAGATTATTCACTGATAAAGTTAACAAAATATTTTCTGAATATTTGAACTTAATTAATAAGGTATTAATAGTCTTTAATTCAGTACTTATTACTTCATTTATATCACATCAGTCGTTTGTCTAAGTTTTATCAGTCATGTTTTACTAACTTCATTTGTGAGATTAATAATCTTTTATAGAAGAATAATCTTATATTTTTGAGTAAACCAATTTATGGAAATATTTCAAAGGTATCAGTGACAGAAGTAGGAAAATTAGTCTCATTACTTGAGTCGCAAAAATTGTTTACCTGAGTGGATTTTAATAGATAATATTTGTAGCAGAATGGTGACAAGATTTTGAAATTCCTTTTTCTTTTGCCACTTATAGTACTTATCAAAAACATTTATAAATTAAAATTTTTTTCATCCTTCCAATATTTAACTAAACACATATACTATCAATTGGTAGGTAGTTCATAGTACTGAGAGAAATGAAAATATTATATACATTAAAAGCACAACCACATTTTTGAAGAACACACACACACAAACCCCACACCCTGTTCATCTAGCCCACCAATCTTTGTAATTGAATTCTTAAAAGAAAATATTTTAATTATTCGTTTTTACATCACCATAGTTTCCCCTTGTGTCTCTTCCACTTTCCCTCCCAGAGAGCTATCCCGTATATCAGAGTATTTTTTTCAAAAGAAAAAGAAGAGGAAAAAATCAGTATAACTTATCAATACATCAAAAAAGACTGAAAATATTTCCAATGTTTAACACTTGTGGACCTCCCACCTTTGCAAAGGGGTGGGATGGGAATGTCTTCTTATATCTTCTTTTGAGCCATGCAGTTTTGTTTTGTATGAATGATTGTTCTTTATGTTTCCATTGCTGTAATTATTGCATATGCTGTTTTCTTGGCTTGCTTAATTTATTCCCCTTTAGTTCATGTAGATATTTCTGTGCTTTTCTGTATTCATATTTCCCATTTCTTAGAGGAGAGTAATATTCCATCTCATACATGTACCACAATTTCTTTAGTCATTTCCCAATCTTTGGGCATGCACTTTGTTTCCAATTCTTTGCTATCACAAAAAGTACTGCTATAAATATTTTGGTGTATATGGGAATTTCTTTTTATCAATGACCTTCTTGGGGTATAAGCTAGTAATGGAATTTCTGAGTCAAAGGATATAGACAGTTTAGATATTTTATTTGGATAATTCTAAAATGCTTTCCAAAATGCTTGTACTGATTTACTGTTACACAGTACACGAGTGTGCCTGTCTTCCCACAACCCATCCAACATTGACTATTCCGGTCTTTTGTCATCTTTGTCAATATGCAGAGTGTGCCTCAGGGTTGTTTTGATTTGCATTTCTATTTTTTTCTTCTTTTTATTTCCTATCCCTCCAGACTCTTCTACTTTACTTTTGTTTTGTTTTGTTTTGTTTTGTTTTTGTGAGGCAATTGGGTTAAGTGACTTGCCCAGGGTCACACAGCTAGTGAGTATCATGTGTCTCAGGCCTGATTTGAAATCAGGTCCTCCTGACTCCAGGGCCAGTGCTGTATCTACTGCACCACCTAACTGCCCCTTCTACTTTACCTCCACCGGCTACCTTGCCCTCCTATTACTTAGCCTAGCCCCCCCTCCAAGGATCCCTCCTCTGTCCTCCCATTCCCATAAATCTAAACTCTCTTCTGTAACTCCCTATAACCTATTCCCTCACCCTTCTCTCTGAAGATCCCTCCCTTATCCTCTCCCCCCTCCCTATCCCCTTACCCTTTTAATTCTTCTGAATTTAGAAGACTTTTATACTCTTCTAGATATGTGTGTGTGTGTGTGTGTATATATGTGTGTGTGTGTGTATGCATTGTTCCCTCTTGAATTCATTCCCGATGAAAGTAGGTTACCAAAACTATCAGCCCTCCTTCCCCATCTAATTCCCATGTCCATTCTTCCTCTTGTACTTCTTTTGTATAAAATAATTACTCTTTTTATCTGTTCCTAAATGCTTTACTTTTTAAAGTCATATCATACTCAGGTCTACCCCAGTCTCTCTTACAAACTACCCAATTACTAATGACAGTCTTAGACATATGTTTTACATTTTACATATATAAGGGGTAAACAATCTGTCCTTATTGAATCCCTTATAATCAGTCTTTGGTATGTACCTTATGTTTCTCTTGGCTCTTGTATGTCAAATCTTTTATTAAGTTCAGGTGGGGTTTTTTTTGGTTTGTTTTTAAGAAAATCCTGAAAGTCTTGACAGTTGATCAGATGTCCATTTTTTTTTTCATTCAGGATTATGCTTAACTTTGCTGGGTATGATATTTTCAGCCAGAACTCCAGTTCTTTTGCTCTTTGACATATAGGACCTGAGGTCCTTTAAGTGTTCCCTCTGCTAAGTCTTGTGTGACTCTAATTGTGGCACTATCATATTTAAATTGTTTTTTTCTTGTTGCTCTTAATATTTTATCCTTGAGCTGAGGGTTTCAGAATTTCACTATGATATTCCTGTGAGTTTTCTTCGTAGAATCTCTTTCAAGTAGTAATCAATGGATTTTTTTTCTATTGCATTTCTTTTGTTATTAGAGATTTGGAGTAGTCTTTCATGTGCTTATTAGTAGTTTATAATTCTTCTTTTGAAAACTGTTTGTTAATATCAAAGGATATCAAACTAACTCATCACAAATTCAAAACACAATTTTTCCAATTTGACTGCTACCTTTATTTATACTAGGGGAGTTAATTTTGTCTGTGCAGAAGCTTTTCAGTTTTATGTAATCAAAATTACATATTTTATCTTTTGTTATTGCCTCTGTCTCTTGTTTGATTAAGAATAAATCTTCCCATAACTGTGAGAGGTGTATAATATGCTTCTCTTCTAATTTTTTTTCAAAAAGTATGATCTTCAGTATTAAAGTCACATATGCATTTAAAATGTATTATGGAATATGGTGTAGAATATGGTGTAAAATAAGGTGTTGGCTAAGACTAATTTTTGCCACAATGCTTCCCAATTTTTCCACCAGTTTTTATCAAATAGAGTTCTTTTCTAAGAATCGTGCTGTGTGGGGTGTTTGAGAAGTAAATAATTTCTTCAAGTCTGGTTTCCTTCATAGGAACATTTTTAACATCTCTTTTTAAGTTGAATATCCATATTTTTTCATTAATAGGCTTAGATTTGCCAGAAAGGTCACTTTGGGTTGCATCTTGAGCTCCTTTGTTCTGTGGAACAAATTCCATTTCTTTCTACAATTTCTGGTGGGTGCAGAATAGTTTTGTGTTATTGGAATTTTCTTTCTTTATTTTATATTTGATGGGGTTTTTTTCTGGTCGCTTGCGAATTTGTTGTTTGTCAGTGGAATTTAACCATTATGTGTCTTGGAGTTTGCAGCCTTGTATTTTCTTCTGAAGAAAATATGTGAATTCTTTGGATTGATCCTTTGTTTTTTGTATTCAGAATTTCTGGACATTTTTCTTATATTATTTCTTACATGATAGTGTCAGGTTTTTTGACTTGTCATGTTCTTCTGGGAGACTTAAAATCCTTAAATTGTTTCTAAGCATACTGTCTTCAAGATCAATGTTTGTATGGAGATCATCCTGTCTTTTAATATTACTTTTTGCTTCCCTTCCAGATTGTCCTTTATTTCATATATTTGTATTCCCTATCAGTTATTGTTTTTTTACCTATCAGTTTTTTTTTATTTCTTTAGTAAGACATACTACTGTGAATTCAAGATTTTCTGTTTTACCAATTATTTCTGTTGTATGAACCATAAATTCTGCTTTCACTATTGCTATTTTTCCTTTAAATCATTCAGGAACATCTTGTTGTGTTTCTTTGCTCTCTTAGGGATCCCCAGGATCTCTTTGCCTCGTTAGGTATTCAATTTTTCTTTGTTTTGAGATATTTATTTATAAATGCCTGGACTGTTTTACCTGACTTAAAGACCATATTCCCTTCTGTTATTATTATCTTCCCTGTTGGTTTATCTACTTACGCTCATGATCTTTGAGTTTTTCTTCCTGAGATCTTTGGCAGTTTCAATCTTTTTTCTTAATCGCCTTTACTGCTCACTTTCTAACTCCCTCTCCTTTGATAGCAGTTTCCCTTGGGGCTGGATCTCAAAACCATTTCAGCTTCTACATACATCAGATAATTGACATTTCACCAGCCTTGGCCTCTGCCCCCAGGTAACTTCTGGGGGTACTGAATTGACCTCAGCTGGATGCTGGGCTCTTTCCTTCAAGTTTAGTGGATTTCCACACAGCCCTGATATGTGTGTCCTGCCCCAGTTCTTTCTTTTCCCCAATTCTCTGGTTAAGCCCCAAGATGGTAAGAAAATTGATGTTTCTTGCTCATTTTTTTTTTGATGTTGCTTTGATCACCGATTGCTTTTTGTGGACCACAGCAGAACTGAAAAATAACTTAGGTTAACTCAGTTTAATTCTTGCCCTACTACAGCACTTTGACCTCTGGCCATGTGCAGACACATATAACACTCTCCATGCTGCTTTTTTTCTTTTAACCATTATCTTGTTTTTAATTGATCACTTTTGTTTTTTATATCTCCTTCATTTCCAGAGACAGCTAGGTGGTACAATAAATAGAGCACTGGGCTTGTAATCAGGAATACCTAAGTTCAAATTTGGCCTCAGACTCTTAATAGCTGTGTGATACTGGGCAAGTTGCTTAACTTCTGTCTGCCTCAGTTTCCTCAACTATAAAATGGAGATAATAATGGCACCTAACTCCCAGGGTTGTTGTGGGCTCAAATGAGAAAATAATTGTAAAGTGCTTAGGACAGGACCTGGTATATAGTTGGCACTTAATAAATGCTTGTTTATTTCCTTCCATCCTCCTTTCCTTCCCTCTTCCTTTCCCTGCCCGCCCCCATCTTTTCTTCCTTTCTTCCTTCAGAATAAATGTCCTGCCTCTTGCCTCCAGTGAGCCATGTGTTGTGACCAAGTTATAAAAATCAGTTCAACAAAACAGGCTAATGTATCAACTGTGTATGACAATATATGCCATATTCCACACAAGCAGTTTCCCACCTCTATAAAGAAAGGAGAGAGGTGTAATTTTCAACTCTTCTCTAGGGCCAAGCTTGGTCTTCATTATATACACCTACTTTTTCATAGAAGGATTTAGTAGAGCTCCTTTTTTCCTACTTTTGTAAACAGTTTGTATAATATTGGAATTAATTATTCTTTGTATGTTAGAAATTGCTTGTAAATATTTCTGGTCCCATGTTATTGTTTTTCCTTTGGGTGCTCCTTTATGACTTGTTCATGATGCTGCTTTTTTCAAAATTTCTATATTCCTAGGAAACTGTAGATACTGTAGTACTATTTGTTCATCTTCTGAGCTAAGGCTATTTACCTTAGTACCACAGGAGATGTTCTTGTCCTTTTATTTTACCATGTAAGGCCAGGCTAAATTTCAAAAGACAAAAATTCTTTTCATTTTTTCAAAATGTTTGAAATAGGTACTGATTAGACTTATCCATGTTAGCCTATTCTTTTGATTCAGATTGTGAATTGATTGAAAGGGATTTTAATAGAGGAAAGGACTTGACTTCACAGGAAGTCAAGATGTTGGTTATTTTGGAAGCTAAAAAAAGATTATCCTTTAAAAAGAAACTGAAATACTAACTTACAACTATGAGTAGTCCCCACTTTTCTTTTTGTATATACATGTATTCCAGGAAACTTCACTGAGAAGTAGAATTGCAGAAAAACTAGTAGGTGCTTTTTCTTTCTATGGACTTAGTCACAGTCTAAACTGTAAAGTAATGGTTCTTTATTATTAAGTCAAAATGTCACAGAATATTAGAACTAGAAGGGACTTTAGGAAGAAATCATCCAGTTCAACCTTATAGATGAGAAAAGCAGTGCTGGACAAATGAAAGTGTCTTGCCCAAAATTATACAGTGAGTAAGTGGCAGAGCTAGAACTTGAACCCAACACTTTTGATATTAAGCTGCATTTTGTACCACACCAAGGATTGGTGATTGATCACTAAAGCAAAGGCTGAAATACTTTTTTTTTTGGTATCATTGGATAAGCAGTTATGTTTATTATTCTTAAGGAAATTAAAAGCTGCCTATTCTGCAGCAATTCTCAAATTTACATTACTTTGGTTTTACTTTACGTGAGTAAAAGCTAAAGTTACTTATGGAAAAAATTCAATTAAAGTAGACATTTTATACAATTTTTCTGATCCTACTATAACAATCATAATAAAAACTTTTTTTTATTCCGGGGTGATTATCCAGACCTCTTCTATTAACTCTTCCTTTTGCTATCTCTCAGGCATTTTGCATTAATAAGCATCTCAATTATTATATATGAGAAAAGAAGTAAAACTTATTTCTGGAATTTTTCTATCCTCAGTACCTCTAAATCTGCCTATATAGTCTAGCCAATTATGAATTGTCCATAATGTTTTAAACAGCAAAGATAAATGTATTGACATTTATTTTACTTTTTTGTTCTTCAACTTTAGGGATGTCCAAGGGAAGAAGTACTTTTAACACTGGAGGAGCTCATTTTAAAAATTCCAGATGCTAAGAAACTTGTTAAGTATTGGATATGCCTTGCACGCCTTGAACCAATTACAAGCCCTCTTGAAAATATCATTGCAATATATGAAAAAGCTATTCTTGCAGGGGCTCAGGTAGGAACTAGAATTTATTAGTCTTTGTTATAGTGTGATTATCACAATTCTAGAAACTATTACTGTAACATAGGAAATTCATTAATTTTATAGTTTGGAAGGAATCACAAAAGCACTGCTATTCATTTTGGTTTCTTTTAGAATATTTTCATCAATTTCTCAAGGATGATCAGGCCTTGATGAGCTAATTATAAATTACATAAAATAGGATGCAATTTATTAATTTGGAACAAGAAATATAACTGAAAAGTGCAGATTGCACATTTGCTTACCAGGAGAAGATGACATATATGGGAAAGAGAATTATAACTGGTTTGTATACTGAATCTACATTGTAAATGAAAATGAATTCTATGGTCTTAAGGAAATCTTTTGCTTCTGTGGAAGAACACTTATTAAAACTGAATTAAACTGCATTAGAATAGGTTTGCATACTGAATCTACTTTTTGAAGGAAAAAGAATTCTGTTATATAAAGGAAATATTTATTTTCAAACTATTATTGTCTAGTGAATTACCATTCAAATAGAAATGTATTTCCCCAGCATACTTATCAACAGCTTTAGAGCAGTTTCACTCTCCCACTCTTCCACCACATTAGCAAACATACAATGTGGGCAATAAAAGGACACTCTTTACCTCATTGTTTAAAAAATATATATTCCATATTCAGATAACCCTCTCGTTTTAGACTCTTTTCCAAATTCATCTTTATTGTTTCTAATGTCCATCCTGGTGTGCTTTATACATAATGTTTGTTTGTTATTGACAGGGTAAAACTACCATACTCGTAAAAAAAATGAAATTGAGAACATGGTCTATGGACAGCTTGTATGTTCAATTGTATTTGCTATAGCAATTAAATGAAAGGTAATTCAGGCCATTTATTGCAACTAACATCACCTCTTTCTCCAACCCCCAATTCCCATTCAAAATTGATCAGTTCCTTGGAAAGGCTTTATCAGAATTTGTAATACTAATTTTTAATTATGAAAGAATGGTGCTAAAATCACCATCTGTACAAAAGAATCAGCTTTATAATTATTTTTAAATGATCCTGGATAAAAAAAAATAGTGAGCTTTCCTGTTTAAATTTTTAAACTTTTAATCAGAGCAATGGTTTTCAAACTTTGGAATTAAGACCTTTGCAGTCTTAAAAATTATTGAGGATTCCAAAAGCACTTTTGTTTATGTGGATCATATCTACTGTATTATAAATGAAAACATCTTAGTATTATTATGGAAGTAGTTTTGACTTGTTGGACTCCCTGAAAGTATCTTGAGAACCACCAGTGGTTCCCACTTTGAGAACCACTGAATTAGAAGACCAGAAAATTCCCTCTGTTCAATTTTGTATGACTACTATACTAAATGGGATCAATTTGTTAAGCTTATTTAATAATTAGAATTAATAGGAAAGTTCTTGATTATTCAATTAAAATGAGTATTGCTCTGAGGCATTCTTAAGGCAAATTAAAAAGTAAACCAGTGTCAATTCTCCTGTAGCTTTCTGAGCAATTGGGAAGGTAAGAACCAATGAATTGTATCCTTGGAAACTTCTTTTTCAAGTCTATATCTTCTACACATAAACATCAACATCCCACAAAAGTTTACTAACATAAACCTCTGACTATATCCCAGTCTTCATCATCATGAGCAATTTTCTCCATGGGCTATTACAGGGCTTCTTAAACTTTTTCCACTTGCTACCCCTTCAGTGCTTCTTAAAGTGTGGAAGAAGCACTGTATATAGAGCATATTCCTAAAGTTTATCTCTTCAGCCTTTCCTTGAAGGTCTGGCCAACCACTCTGGTCTTAGCTAATTTAGTTTTCACAAATATGTAAATATTTCTCTGATCATACATGGCACTGTCCCATGTACTTTGGGAAATATGAAATTGAATCAAACAGATCTTTAAGAAGCATACAATCAAGTGATAGTAATAAGAGGGGAAGGGAAGGAAATGAACATTTATATAGCAACTGCTATGTGCCAGGTGCTTTTTACAACTATTATCTCATTTGATCCTCACAACAACACTGGAAGGTAGGTATTACTATTATCTCATTTTACAGTTGAGTAAACTGAGCAAACAGATTAAGTGGCTGACCCAGGATCACATAGCTAGTAAGTATCTGAAGTCACATTTGAACTCAGGTCTTCCTGACTCCAGGCCCAGCCAACATTTTCATAGGGCTTTAGGTTTACAAAATACATTTTCATGAATTATCTCATCTAAGCTTTCTAATCCTGTGAGGTAGATAGGTGAGGTGTTACTCTCACTTTACAGATGAGGAAACAGGTTCAGATAGGTTAAATGAACTTCCCTTAGTCGTACAATATACATGCGTGAAAAATATGAGCCACATTTGGATCTTTTGATTCCAAATCAAATATTCTTTCCAACCTCAGATTCTTCATTAGTAAAATGGGGATAGTAATAGCACCTATCTCATAGGGTTGTTGTAAGGATCAGTGAGGTAATATATGTAAGGCATTTTTCAAACTTTCAAACATTAACTGTGAGCTACTGTTTCACTAAAACTAGAGAGAAAAGTCCCCATATACAAATAAAGTGGTACAAATAGTATGATAAGCATTTAGAGAAGGGAGAGATATAGTTAGGTGGCACAGTGGATAGAGTGCTTTGCTTGGAGTCAGAAAAATCTTAGTTCAAATCAGATCTCAGACATTTACTAGCCACATGACTCTGGGTAAGTCACTTTAAAAAAAAAAACAAAACTCAGTTTGCCTCAGTTCCCCTTCCCCCCATAACATGGGGATAATGGCACCTACCTCCCAATGTTGTTGTGAAAATCAAACGATACTTTATTTGTAAAGTACTTAGCAGAATGTCTGGCACACAGTAGATGTGTAATAAATGGTTGTTCCCTTTCCCCTCTTCTGGCTAGGGATGGTCAGGGAAAAGTCTTGGAGCAGTTAGGATTTGAAAATACACAAGACGAAAACAGAAGGAAGTTCAGAAGGACACAGACAGGTGGGGTGGTTTTGCTACTGTTGTGTTAAATTTAATATCAACTTAAAATGTACGTAATAAAAGTTCATAGATGTGCATGTAGTCCTCTTTGTTTATTGCAATGTTCACATTTATTGATGTTTGTTGAATTTCTAAAAAGTAAAGAAAAAAGAAGTTAGAAATTGAGATATGTTTTGAAATATGGGATGGATCCCAGTGAACAAATAATGGAGGAGGACATTCCATTTTGGGTAATGGAATTAGCAGAGGTGGGAAAGTGTAAAGCATTTCCAAAGTGATGGTCAGCAGTAGTCCAGTATGACTCCTGTGTATGGTATGCTTAGGGGGATAATGAGAAATTAAGCTGGCAAGTTATGTTGGGACCAAGCTAAGAAGATCATTGAGTGGCAGGCTAAGAATCTAGAATTTTATCCTGCAGACAGTGAGGAGCCGGCTGTGCAGAATATATTGAAAGAGAGGAGAGACTGGAAGCAAATAGACATTTGGCTGTTTCAGTAATACAAAAGCATGGGCTCGTAAGTGCCTTGATTTTAGGATGATAACAGTGAAATTAGGAAGGAAAGTACAGTTGTAAAAGATGAAAAACAAATATTTATATGTGTGTATAGATATACATATATGGGTGAGTATACATATGTATATAGGACCCTTATTTCATGTCTTAAATATTTCTGATTTTAAAGTATGAAACTTTACTTCCTTATGTTTACAACAGCCAGCTTAGTGTTTTGTGACTAAAAATTCTAACTAATTCTATGCTTTTCTTTACTAAAAAGGACTAATTTTGTTTTCTTAAGCCTATGGAAGAAATGCGACACACTTTTGCAGATATCCTAACAATGAAGAGTCAAGTGACGGCTAATTCTGGTAAATTAGAATCTTTCTTTCCCTAAAATAATTTCCTGTTTCATTAGTTTTTATTTATTAGAATGAACTTCTGTGTAAGCTTTTAGCTTTGTTTATTCTGTTATTCTCCTAGCTAAATTTCTAGGATTTTTTCCTTCTCTTGACTTACGTGAACATTAATGAGCCATCTTTGATATTTAGTGGATTTATGCTATAGAAAAATTCATCAACTGACCTACCAGGTATTTTTGTTCCAGGGATAGTTAATAGAAGGGATTCCTTAGTAGGAAGAAATAAGTAGACATTTGAACACTTCACTTATTTTAGGTTCCCAATCATCTGCCTTCTTTGACATTCCCACTTGAACAGAGCATAAAGTAGTCTTTTAGATTGCTCATGATTACCTTTATTTTGTTTGTTTTCCCCTTCTCTTTCTTATTCCTTAATTAATAAAAAAATAGAAACATTGAAATCCTTTTCTTATTTGTTTTGGATTTTAGGTCAATGTATATTACCAATTAATATTCCATTTAAAACAAAATAGGAGAGGTTATTTAGATGTTGATGATGCTTTCTTAAATGAGACTTAATCTGGCCGAGTAAGAAATTTCACTGATATGTACTTTGTTTTTACATACTTACAAGGGCAAGATTCCAGCTGATGTGGTGGAATAAATGTTGTATTAATTTGCTGCACTTGTAACTCATCTGCTTTAGTTACTAAGTATTTTCAACTTTGCTCCCTCTCTTTAATATCCTCTTTGCTAAAAGGGAATATTATGTCCTTGATTTTACTCCATCAGTGTAAATATTGAATCTGAAAATGACTTGGAGAGAAAAATAGGGAAGTAGTGAATACAAGAATTACTAGCATTAGTAAGACAGCATGGCACCCTAGCTCTCTGCAGGTGCAGTATTTAGGCTAAAGGAAATATTTAGTCTATATTACTTACATTCCTGTCCGTCCTTTTGTCATGTGATAGCGAAGATTGGGTCCATATTTTAAAATTTTATGAGATCTAATCAGTTCTGAAATCCTACAGCAAGATCATTTAATTCATCTTTTACTTTGGGCAAAAATACAGGCAAACTCAGATAATTTTAATTGGCTTTGCAAAAACATAAAATGAGGGTGGAAATGATATTAAAGAGGGCAATTTATAGGGAAAATTGGTCATAAATGGGAAGACTAAGTGACATTGTAGTAAGGTTTTATGACTTTATAGTGATGTTTTGGTATTAAAGATATTATTTGAAATTATAATTATAGGTAACATTTATAGATCACTTTCAGGTTGATAAAGTGCTTTACATATATTATCTCACTAGATCATCATAATAACCTTTATTTTCCTATTGTATAGGTAGGGAAGCCATTTTAGAAAGGTTCAATGACTTGCCTCAGGGCCATACAGCCAATATCTGGGGTCAGATTTGAACCTGCATTTTTTTGACTATTCTATTCTCTTCATCACCTAGGTTGATGAAGAGATAACCTTATATGGAATTTCTCAGCCTCTAAGGGTAGATTTTCATGTGTCTGCTTTTTGATATTTTAGATTTTATGGTCTCTAAGATCCCTTAAAACCCAGATTCTGTGATTCTTCAACCTTCAGGAAAAGAGATTGTCCAAATTCAAAGTTAACCATCTTTAAATTATCTCTTTGTAATTAAAAAAAAGTTCTTGTTTTCCTTGGTAGTGATGGAGAATGCCTCTCTATAAGCTATTCATAAGCTTGAAGATAATTATTATCATATACAAGTACAATATTTTTTTAAAACCACTAAATTTTATATGCAATATAACTTCTTCACTCTGAGGGAGTAGCAACATTTTATTTTCATTTAACTCAAGAGAGCACATTTTCAGATTGTTTTTGAAGGAAACATGGGACCTTTATGAAAGTATTAGAAATGTTTTATCCAGCTTGGGATTGAGAAGAATTTGGGCTTTACAACCTAATGCCTCTACCTTATTTCCTTTAATACAGCTATGGCAGGGTTTGTGTTGCCAAGTAATAAGAGCAGTCCAGTCTTATGGTTTTTTTGATGGTGCTTGTTGAGAAGCAAAATGAATTTGAAAAATAAATTGGAATATATTTCTGGATTAAGCAGTCCTGTGTTAATCCTTATTTATTAAATGGTTATTATTGTGTATATAGTGTGTTCTTAGTGTTTCAGAAGAAAGAAATGTGGGAAAGATAGTGAGTTTTGTTTTGAAAATGCTGAGTTTGAGATACTTCAAAGGCATCACCAGTAAGGAGTTGGAAATGTGTACTTCAGCTAAGGAAAGAGATTAAGGCTGGATATATAGATTTGGGAGACATAAACAGAGGTGAAAATTAAACCAATGGGAGCTAATGAGATGAACAACTGAAACACCATAGAAAGAGAGGTGAAGAGGGCCCAGAGGGGAGAGCCTGACGGAACATCCACAAGTCGGAGACACAATAGAGAGGATAGAGAAGCAAAAAGAGACTGAGGATGAGTAGTCAAAGTTAGGATTAGAATCATGAGAGAATAGTGTCAACAAAATACAAAGCTGAGGGTTATTCAAAATAAGAGGATGGTCAACAAACAGCCAATAGGTTGAAAAGAATGAAGATTTTTTAAAAGGCCATGGGATTTGGTAATTAGATCATTTGTAATTTAGGACACAGGAATTTCATTTGTGTATGAGGTTGGGACCCAGATTCCAAAGAGTTGAGAAGTGAGACAAGATTGAGTAGAAGCAATTTGGGTATAGCCAGCTTTTTCCAGGACCTTGACTGAGAAAAGGAAAAGAGATACCAGACAGTAATTTGATTGAATTTTAGAATCTAGCAAGGGTTTTTTCAAGATGGTAGAGACTTGGGTGTGCCTGTAGGCAACTGGGAAGGAAGCAATACATTGGTAGTGATTGAAGGTTTGGTAAGGGGGTGTAGTACACGATTGTGGGAGCAATCTACTGGAGAAGATGAAAGAGATGGGACTGATTATACAAGTAATTGTCCTCCTCAAGAAAATGAGTTGCCTCTTTATCAAACAGGAAAAGGGGAGGAGAGAATGAAAACTGGTATATTTTGAGATGTAGAGTAGGAGATGAAGGAGCTGATAGTTGGTTTTGAATAGGATATTTAAAGTTGTTACAATTTGTCCCTCCTTTTTGGTTTAAAAATCTAGTCATCTATGTGTTTTCTTTAACCAAAAAGCTTTATTGTAACATTGGCTAGAAATTTCTCATTTACAAATGCATTTTCTTCAGGGGAGAATGTTGAAGTTTGTTCAGCTAATGAAGAAGTCAACAAAGTATGTGATGAAGTTATAAATCAGGATAAAATTGATGTAGAAGGGGCATCAGCAGTGGAAAATTCAGAATCAAATGATACAGATCATAAAACAAGGAATGTAAAACTTCAAGTGTTTGAAGGAGAGCAAGAGGATAAAGCAGAAGATTCAAACAGTGATTTAGAGACTCCTGAAAAGGAAACCAGAGGGTCTTATGTCATTAAATATAATGTGTCAACTACTCCATACTTGCAAAGGTAAGTCATAAATTTCTAAAATTCAGTGTATCAGGGTACAGAAATTTACTTAACATTTAGGCCCCAATTTCACACAGCTACAATCAATGTAATACCTTAAAGCACAAGTACCCAAACTTTCTTAGTTCATGACACTCAGTGTCTAAATAATTTTTTCATAGCACCCCTAGGCCAAATGAAAAAACCTAATAGTTCCTTTTCCCAAGTAGTTAGGTCCAAAGAACTTAATAAGTATTTATGTCCTCACAAATTAGTATCTACATGAAAAAAATTAATTTGGATTATTGACATATCCAGAGTTGACAGATATTTATATAAAAATTCTAAGAAACAAGAAAATTCTAGTAGTTATTGACATAGCTGAAAGAACAAATACACAAAAATATATTTCAAACATTAGAGACTGTCATCAGAAGGAATGTAGCATCTAATGTTGAAATGATGAACTTCCTTGATCTAGTAGTTCACACAGTGTCCACAGGTGGATAGATGTATTAGAATATTCATTATCACTATGCTTTGCTGGAAAATTTAAAATATCCTAAGGAGACCCTTTGAATTCACTGTGGTACCTTGGGCTGTGCACAGTTTGGGAACCAAAGTCTGAATACTTTGTAAAACAAATCAAACAAACCTCTAACCAACTTTGTTGAACTTTGAATTAACTCAATTTAAACTAGATTATTTTGCTCAGAGTTGTTAGACACATGGCTCTCCACATTGGCTAGCAATGGGCAGCCCTAGTGCATGCTGCACCAGATTGAAATGTAATTGGCAAATAATTAACAAAATAAATAAAAATATAATAGAACAGAAATAATGTTAATATGTAGTTTTCTAAGTCAAGATGTAGCCTGCAAGAATCCTTGTGTATAGTTTAGTGGCCTTGTTTTTATTTGAATTCGATATCACTGATCTATCTGGTTTTTAAGAAGACTCTGAAATCCAAAATGTTGGAATTGTTAGGAGAATAATTTCCAAACTAAATAGAGTGTCATTTGGAGCTTTCTACTTGAGTGTCTTGTGTTCAGTCTGTTTTTTTCCCCTTTGTAAATTCTTTCCCCACTACCAAAAAAAATTTTTTTCAGGTCATTTGACTTCATCCTGTTGATGAACCTATTGTTACTGAAAATGCATTTATGCTGGCACATGATGTGAAGCTTCGTATTGTGAATAGAGGACTGGTCTTAGAGTCAGGAAAATCTGGGTTCCACTCCTCCCTCTGACACAAACTAGCTCTGTGACTGGGCAAGTCATGTAACCTCTCAGAGACCTAGATCAGTAAGGTCAAACTCAAATAGAAATGGGGGTCACTAAACTGTACTTAAGGATCCCTGTAGGCTACAGAGTGACTTAGAAGAACACACATTATGTTTTGTTTTATTTTATTTTTATTTATTTTGTTAAATATTTCCCGATTACATTTTAATCTGATTTGGGCTGCACTCAGGAGTGTTGTGGGCTGCATGTGACTGTATTTGAAAACTCTGTCCTAGACAACTGGCTAACATGTAAGTTGAAGATATGTTCTCACTGGGAGCTACTCACATGAAATCACAGATCAGGTTTTAAAAAATAACAACAAAAAACCTCTCAAATATTCAAATAGGTCTGTGAACTCATCAATTTGGAGATTCTCTCCAACAATGCAGAACTCATCCTATCCATGCCTGCCTATTCTATTTGACTGTTATTTTGTGTCTTCCCATAAATCCAGCAGTAGGTATTAATCCAATATGCTAGAGGCCTTCCTTGATTTCTCCTGACATTGTGAGGGTACCAGTGGAGTACTATGATTCTCCACTAGTCATTCCTTACCACATGACCAGTTCATCTTTTCTTCCTGTTAACCTCCTGTCATACATTTTTAAAATAACATAATATTATCAATGAGACTGTTATCTATATAAGAGAACACTTTTTTTTGTTGAAAATACTTTAAGTAATCGGGCTTGCTATAAATCGGATATCTCTAATTGGAGAAAACAACACAGAGATGAACTATTTAACAAAATGAGAATATACAGAATATAAGATGGAAAGGAAGAAAAGACAGATTCTTTGAAGAGATTTTTTAGAGAAATAATTTTTAGTCTTTGAAGACTACAATATATCTTTGAGTAAAAGAGGGAGAAGGTGGAAGGGGAACATAGCTTGTGTCTGAATGTTGAATGAGTTAGGGGTTGTTAATTTCTGGGGATTTTTTTTTTGAGATTAACAAGTAGTTACACTAATATTCTCATATCATACTTGAAGATGAACTGCTTCTTAAATGTTAGCATTTAAAAAGGTATAATACAGTTTGTTGTGAAGCTTTAGGAATAACTTTGTGTTTCTCCTTTAGTGTGAAAAAGAAGATGAATTTTGATGAAAATAGTTCTTCATTTAAGGACTTGAAGTTTCTGACACCAGTGAGGCGTTCTCGACGTCTTCAGGGGAAGTGTTATAAATTACCAGATATGTTAAAAGATCATTATCCCTGTGTTTCTTCATTGGAACAGTTAGCAGAACTGGGAAGTGAAACAAGTGCTTATATATGCCGTCCAAACACTGCACTATGTGCAACTTCCCTTGAAGAAGAAGGAAAAGAAACAGAAAAGAAATGAAATTTTAACAAGGGAAGAAATATATTTAAAAACTTATCAAATTAAGTCTGTTGTGTTTCAGGTTTCACATTTCCTACAGAGTGTAGCTTATTACCCAAGTTTTTACTAAGGTATTACTACAATGAAAATATAATTGATGAGGTACTTATATAGCAGGATTTGACTTGCTTGAATTAGTAAACAGATTTAGCCTTACTATCCAAAAAATAACAAGTTAGGAAGTCTACTTTTTTTTTTTGAGATTGGTAGAGACTGTCTTTGAAACAAGATTATTATACAGTTTGTATTTCTATATTCTATTATTTTGAGCAAGAAAATCTCAGTATAATTCAAGAATAACATAGCTAACTATTACATATACCTACTTTTTTTGTGACTGTTTAAATGGATGTATACAAATCAAAAGAACAATGTTGGAAAAGAAAGTTTTTCTAGAAATGTATTTGTATTGGAGGAAGTATGCTAACATGATATATTTTTTTCCATTAGAGGAAATGTGTTCCAATTTATAAGATTTAAATATTCACTTTAATTGGGGTTTTTGGAGTAGAATCTATCTTCACTTAACATTAGTCTTCTGAATATTTCTCAGTATTTAACAACTAAAACTATGAAATTTTGTTGAGCTTTTTTTTAAGATATAAAAGTTGCATTAAAATTTTTATCATGAATAACTTTTAAAATGTGTCACTTTGTTATATATTTTTTAAAGTAAATCAACAATTATCTAGTATTCATTTACTTTCTCTACTTTTAAGTATACCTGTAGGAATTCTAAGTATAATAATGCCTTAAGGTAAAGTCTCATTATTTGACCTAACATTGGTGAATAAGGTATTCTGGATAAGAAAATTTTCCAGGTAAAGTTTTAACATTTACAGCCATACTGGCAAGTACTTAACAGGTCATTTAATCCATTCTTACCAATGAATCTTGTCAATCAGGTCATTGAAATAACATTTCTTTAGCTCCTACAATGTGCTAGGCACAGTACTAAATACTGGGGATAAAAGAAAAAGCAAAAATAGCCCTGTCTCTTAGAATATAAGAAGCTTATATTTTAAAGGAGGGTATAGCATACATAGGTGCATGCAGAATAGATTGAAGGTAACCTTGGAGGCATTTTTTACAAAAAGTAGTTATTTAGACTCGCTAACCTTTAGTGACAAAGACCTCACTATCATCAAGCGCCTCCTCCCCCCCTTTTTTTGATAGGTCTCATGGTTAGGATGCTCTAAAATATGCCTCCCTATAATTTCTACCTGGTACTAATTCTGCTCTCTACAGTCCACTAGACTAAATCTACCATAGCTTTTCCTTAAACTGCTAAAACTCTTATAAAGGGTAGTAGAATTGTTTCCACTCATATTATACCTCTTTACTCTTCTACCAGTTATAGTCTTTTGGTCCCATTACTTTACTGAAATTACTAACTCAAAGACCACCAGTGGTTTCTTAATTGTGAAATCTGATAACCTTTTCTCAGTCTTTATTCTTCTTAGCTCTTTTGCATATGATACTTTTGACCAGGCTTCCAGGTCATGTGGTCAAGTAACTAACAAGATAGAAGACCCTCATGGTATATTTACCATCAAGGGTGAAAGAGTCAGAAAGTGAGCTAGGAGAGCATAAGGAAAAAAAGACATTGCCAAAGATCTCAGGAGGAAGAAACTCACTTAAAACCTTAACACAAACATATAACATAATAGAAAAGATAATAAGAGAATGGAAGGTGAGCCCCAGAACATCTAGATGAGTCTGAACACCTCTGAATAAATATTGCAAGACAGGAAAATGAATCAACCCCAAATAAGGAAAAAGACTGTGGATACCCAAGAGCATGGAACCAAAGCAGGATATTCACAAATGGTTCCAGGGAGAAATTAGAATCATGAAAGCAGAATTTATGACCTGCACAGCAGAAATAATTGGCAAAATAAAATGCGTGGTAGCAAATTTCATCAAAGAAATGAAGGAACAACTGATTGAGACTGCAAGTACACAGAAGTGAAGGAAAATCTGGAAAAAGAGAAGCAATAATGTTTATAGAAAACATTTCTATACAGGAAAAACATTGATCTTGAAAGGTAGGACTCAAACAACTTAAAAGATTATGTCTCCTAGAAGAACACAATAAGTAAAAAAACCTGAATGCTATAATACAGGAAAATTGTCCAGACCTTCTGAACACTAGAAGCAAAGCATCACTAAAAAAGAATGTATAGGTTTGGTTGGCGACAGGGGTGGGGTGGGGTGGAGGAGGTGGTGCAGTGTGAACAGTCTACTACAAGTTCCAAAACATAATGGAACATAAGAATTCGTTACAACAGGCTTTCAGATATAAAGGAGAGGAAATTTAATAAACATAAAACTATTTTGTAGCCACTAAAAGCTATAGGGTAAGGATGGAATAATGTGTTCCAAAGAGCAAAGAAGCTCAAGATATAACCCACAATGAGATACATTTGAGTCCAATAATGGGAAAGGAAAAAAAAAGACATTTAAAAAAAGAGGCATTTGGAACATTCCTACAAAGAAAACCAGATATGAGCAGGTTATTTGCCTTGCAAACACTCCAGACAAGAAATACAAGAAAGGTAAATATAGCTAAGAATGAAAATGCAAATAACAAAATAAATTACCCCAGGAAAAAAAGAGAAAAAAAAGTAGAGATACTTAGAGGGTTAACAACAACAAAATGATAGGCCATTAAGAGATTTCTTTCTAAAAGTACAGATAATTATGAAAACAGCACTTAATTAGAAGTAGTAATGATGGAGGAACAATCCTGAAACATATACTAAATCTCAAAACACCCCACCTATAGGTGATTCGATGTTTTTTGGAGAGATGAAACTATTGAATGGGAGGGCTCATGAAAGCAGAAAAGAGGAAGAAGATAGAGGAAAATGTGTGTTGTATGCTAATCAAGTTAATAACAGTGAAGAAAAAATAACTTGTAGTCTCAGAAGAATACCTACTGGAGAATGGGTGAGTTTACAAAGAGAAGGACCAAAAAAAGAAGCAAGAAAGAAGGAAATCATAATTCACTGATGTGTGGGGGTACCACCAAAGAACAGTCCCATAGAGAAGAGAGCTCCTACAATAGGAGATTGGGACCTTACCATGGACATAATCTTCAGGAATTTGGTATTTACAAAGACCAATGCTTCTGAGATAGTTTTCCTCCATGAACAGCATTCTGCATCAGGAGAAGGGGCTCTAAGCTCCTGGAGGTGACTGACATCTGGAAGGGTGTAAAGGCATGGTTTTCAAGGAAGAGATTTCATAGCAAAAAGGAAGAAAAATGATCATGGGGACAGCAGGGATTAGTAATTAACTGGACAATCAGGGATATAAGAAAATTTCTACCATGAAATTCTAGCCTCTCATCTTTTAGAAGTGATCCTTCTAAGAGTGAGGCTCAACAGAAGAGAGGGCAAGATCCATAAGGCAGTAATATAGAAAATTTGGAAGAAGGAACACAAAAATAGGTACTTTAGAAGGAATACAGGGAAATTTTTTCTAGTAGAAATAAAACAAGTACAAGGACCTTGAATCTAAAAAGAAAAGTCTAGAATAGAAAGAGAAGAGAATGAGAGGAATCCTTTTTAGAAAAAGGTGCAGAAAATGAAAACAAATGGAAAAAGTAGAGGAAGGTTTAGTTTTCTCTTTAACAGAGAAAAAATGAGATGAATTAAATGACTAGATAAAAGGAATTAAGCAAAATTCCAAAATTAGGGAAAGGGATAGAAAATGGGAAGGGGAGTTTGAGGGTGAGAGGAAAGAAACTATAGGAATAGGGTTATCTTAAAGTAAATTAAGCCAAAATAACTGAAGAGACAAAGTACAATATTTACAAAGGAAGAATAACAAAGAATATCCTAATTCAGGGGAAAAATAGAGAAATAGAGGAAAATATAAATCTAATTCATAACTTTAAATATAAGTAGATCAAATAATTAAATAAAATGGGAAAAAAGTGATATTCAATAAGAAAACAAAATTCCAGTTGCTTACAAGAAACACATCTGAAAAACAAAGACAATAAAAATAAAAGACTGGAACAAAATCTATGTATCAGTTGAATACAAAAAAGCAGGGGTTGTCATCATGCTATTGTTCTGTCATGTCCAACTCTCCATGATCCCATAGGCCATACTGTCCCTGGGGTTTTCTTGGCAAAGATACTGGAATGGTTTGCCATTTCCTTCTCCAGTGAATTAAGGCAAACAGAGGTTAAGTAGCTTGCCCAGGGTCACGTAACTAGTAAATGTCTGACTCCAGGCCCAGCATTCAATCCACTGAGCCATCCAGCTACCCATCCTGCTACTAGACAAAGCAAAAACAAATATTTGCAACATAAAAGGAGATAAGGAATCTACATTATACTGAAAAGACAACAAATCAATATCAGTATTAAAGTTATATACTCTAAATGCCTTTGCATGAAAATTCATAAAGGAAAAATTAACTGAATTAGAAGATACAGACAATAATACAATAGGGGCACGATATTTTAATCTCTCAGTTTTGCACAAATCTAACAAAGATAAAATGGAAAACATAAAATTGGATAATTTGCTGGAAAAACTAAAGCTAAGAGACTTAATGGCATCTTCCAAATAGGGCTGTTAAAAATATACATATTACTCAATACCGTATCAGTCAAGTTAGTCAATAAACATTAAGTGCCTACATACCAGGCACTATGCTAAATGCTAAGGATACAAAGAAGGGCAAAAGATGGTCCCTGCCCTTGAGGAGAGGACCTCACAATCTAAGGGAGACAACATGCAAATTACTACGAACAAACAAACTATATTCAGAAATAAATAGATAATCAACAGAGGAAAGGCACTGTAATTAAGAGGTAGGGAAAAGCTTTCTGTGGAAGGTGGGACTTTTGCTGGGACTTGAAGGAAGCCAAGAGGTAGAGATGAGGAGAGAGAACATTCCATGCATGGGGGATAGCCAGTGAAAACGAGTTGGGAGATGGAGTATCTTGTCTGATGAACATCAAGAATGCCAGTGTCAAATTTGTTCCTGGACGTGATAGTCACTGGAGTCAAGTGAAGAGGGTGATGGTCAGACCTCTGATCACTGAACTGAGTGGATGATGTACTGGAGTGGGGAGAGACTTGTGACAAGCTATTGCCAAGTATGAGGTGATGAGAGCCTGAACTGAGAGGGGGCAGTGTCATTGTTGGGAAAACTGGGAGGCTTTCAGGTACAAATGAGGTCAGTACCTTAATTCCACACCATATCCCACTATACATCCTATACAGGATCCTATTATTAAAGGTCGTAATCATTAAAAAATCACAAAAGAAGCAGATCATATACCTTTTGCAGATGAGAGAAAAGATGTATTCTTCATTAAACAAGGGATAGAAGCAATTACAAAAGATAAAATAGGTAATTAAAGTGAAACTGACGGCCCAGTTCAATTCTACATTACCTTCTCTTGAATCCTGTGAAAGATTTTGCCCTGCCAAACCTCAGCTGCCTTTGCTCCTACTTAGATGATGCAGAATCAAACTGGAGAAAATCCTGAAACTGTGCTGACTGGGACCCTTACAAGTTTATGTTACATAATCTCCAAGTGGGGC